GGAGTCTTACTCGACCAGTTGCTGGGGCCTGAAGCTTGCTGAGCCCCATCCAATACTGTTGACTTACTGTATTTAAGAGAAAACGGTTTCGCTTGCCTGTTTTCAAATTAAGCCTTAGGTTTTACATTGGGTTTGGTTTTTCTTAATGAGTAATAATTGCAGGAAGAGTTGAAGATGTATTGTAGCTGTTGAGGTATTTGGCACTTCACCACTGCAGCCACCTTTATCTGTGCCTGTTCGTGAAACTTTTCCCACTGCCCCTTACATTTGTCCCAAAGCCTGTAATTGTGCTATTTTCCCAGGAATGTCCTTGATAAAAGGCTCCTAGCAGCCCTTATCGTGCTATTTTGAGGCAGTGAATGTTATCTGGGCACTGCTTCGAGTGGTGTAAAGCTGTTCCCTGCATGTGAATGTGTGTGAGGACACCAACAACAGTGCAGAGCTACAACTAATGGGTAAAGCTTTCAATTTAATAATAAGGCCACCTCTGGTGTTTAGGACATTCTTCCCTGTTTCTTAAATATTTTTCCCATATTTTCAAGCCTTTCCTTCTAATTTTCTACATGGAAAATAAATTTTAACTCAATGACTGTAGCTAAGGGCAATACCATATAATGGACCACTGTAGTGCAGGGCACTCAGCCAGTCCTTGTGATCTCCAGAGAGCACAGGACAGGGAGATTGGGGGATCTTGGCTTCATTTTAGGGTCTTGCATTAGGAGAGTTGCTTCTACTTGTTCCCTCTGGCTTCTGGTTCTAAATAGTCCTTTCCAATCCTTCCTAGTTCTACATCTTGCCACAATCTTCTCCTTGCTTAGTCCTTCACTGCTCTTCAGACTTTTCAGTCTTCTGATCCTCTTCAGTTCCTCCAGTCTTCCCTAGCCACTGCTGTTGAAGCAGCATGGCCTTTCCCTGATCTCTAGGAAAAGCTTGGACACCATTGCAAACATGGTGCTCCTGCATGAATCTGTCCCCTGTCTGGGTTGCTTGGCAGTGTCCCTGTGAGCCCAGCTGTGGCTGGTGCCCTCATTGTGGCCATGGTGGAGAACGCTGATAAAAGCCCTGCTGCTCCAAAAGCCCTCCTGCCTCCCAGTGGGTGGGGCTCTGCTTGCAGGGGATGTTTGTGCGTGCCCCAGGAGAACGGGACTTCCAGTGATGTCTCTTTACTGATCTGTGACATTGCAGAAAAATGGCATTTTCTTTTTTTTTTTTTTCATCATATCAAAAAAACATCATCACATGATTTTTTCTGAATTCTTGCTTTGATGCAAAGTGTGGCTACAGTTCCTCTTCAGAAAGATTAGTAGAAACACAGGTTTTTCAGCATTGTAACACAGGTTTTTCAGCATTGTTTTCAGAAACTGTCCTGTCTCACAGCCCACCCTGAGTTCCTCCGGGGTCACTCATTCACTTGTGTCACCACTAGGGACAGTGACACAGGGCACTGAGAGGTCTGTGATGTCACCAGTCAGTGCCTGCATCAGCCCTGAACTGCCCCTGCAGTGTCACTGCCAGCTGTGGGGACATGGGTGGTCGTGCATATTGTGTGAGGTCCTGCCCTGAGCCAGCAGCTGGGGCAGAGGGCAGGAGCCCAGGGTGGTGCTGTGGGAGGGATCGGTCATCCCACAGACAGGGCTTGAGATGGTGATTTGCTGGAGACAGCTTAATTCAGAAGACTTCAGTCAAAGAGGTTTATGTTTAAGAGCTGTTGAGCTGAAAAGCTCTAAGTTAAGGAAATATTAAGTTTTGAAGCTTAACAGCTTGTGATTTTTTAATTTTTTTTTTTTTTTTTTTTTTTTTTTTTTTTTTTTTTTTTTTTTTTTTTTTTTTTTTAGGGAAAAGTGAAACCATAGAGGAATATAAATCCAAGGAGCCAAGCCCTAGGATTTAATGCAGTGCAAAGGCTGAAAAGTGGAATTTCCCACTGGTTTGTGTAGGGTTGTCTGCAGAGGATGGCCTGTTCTTGCCTCTGTTCAAAAGCATTCTAGCAGCTGTCGCATGCTTTCAGAGGGAAGCTGCAGTGCTCCTGGGCACTAGGATCAAGGAAAGCCCACGTGTGTCCACCCTGTGCCAGACACTGGAGCAGGGTGGTCGGGCTGGGGGACGCAGGGTGGGAGCAGGCTCTGGCCAAGGGACCCTGGGCACTGGAGAGGGGTTGGATACCCAGGAGAGCAGGGTGTTCAGCCAACCCACTGGTCTGCCCTTTAGCTTGAGATGTCCATCATTGTCAGGGATTTCATTTGCCTCATTGCTCTGCTGGTAAAGCACTGGGATTTGTTTATGAGTATGCTGGAGCTCTTAGAGGAATCTGAGGTTTCAGTCCCCAAATCCCATTGAAAATCCAAGGGGTGTTCCAGTGGAGTAAAATCTTTGTAAACTCTGAAACTCTGCCTGCTGAATAATGCCTGCCTCTCTAAGGTTTCTTTTCTCTTACAAAGTAACGATGCACATCAGAATAAGGGCTGTAGCATGCTGGGTTCTCCCTCTGCAAGGGGCCACGAGACATCCCTGTGGTCAAGAGCTGGAAGGGTGCTGCAGTTGCCTCTGTTCCCAAGATGTCCAGGCTGTGATGGCTGAATCCAAGTACTGACTGTTCTTCACCATATTCCTTCTGCAAGACTGTGCCTGGATGTGGTGGAGCTGAGGCTGAAGTCCTGTCCTGGGCAGTTCAGAGTCATTTTGAGGTGGCTCTTCTGTCAAATGGCAGTAACTGCAAAGCGTGTCCTCCTTCCCCGAGTGTCCAGACTATGTGGCAGAAGTGTTCCTTACCTTGGGATGAAGTTGGTTTTTTGTGCGTAAACTGTGCACCCCAGTCAGTCTGAAAGTTGTGTTTCCTTTTGCCAAGGCTTTCAAATTCAGAAAACCTCTTCAGTTGGATTTTCTGTAAGAAAAAGTTTGCTTATAGGAACAACACCAGGCTGGAGATGCAGTTAACATGAGCAAACCGCACACAGATTTGCTCACTGGCAGCAGGGATGGGATGTAGAGCTGAACTTGGTCTTTGTACAACATCAGCCCAGGTTTTCATTTTAATTTAATCTGGGATGCCAGATGCAGCGGGGCCAGATCCTGGCCATTCCTGCTGGCTTCTCTTTCACATTCCAAAGGGGTATCTGGGGTAGGAAGGCTTCCCATTCAAGCATGCTCTTAAGTCCTTGGCCCCATTGAATGGGCTCCATGCTCTGTGAAATGCCCGCTCCTCTTGGGATATGGACCAGTGGAGCAGGGCGAGGGAAGCTCATTTCACTGGGGGCACCTTCACTGCTCTGCAGGCAAAAGGTCAGGCTGCTCAGACTTTGATTTCAGCTGCTGAAGGGCGGTCACTAATCCAATAAGCCACTGAGGGACTGTAGGACACAGCCTTAATTCAGGCAGTTGCAAGGGTGCGTGGAAGGCAGTAACCCCAGGAGCTCCCCGGTGTCCTGCAGTGCACACTCCTACCTGGCCCTGTCTTGCTTTGTAAAGTGTTGAGAACATCAGGAACGTGCTGTGCCAGCCTTCACACCCTGAGTGTGCTGTAAGAAAAATAAACATCCTTAAAGGTTTTCCAGTGAGCATCAGCTGCTCTGGCTGGATTTGTGCTGGGAATCTGATCACACAGGAACCTTCAGCGGTGGAACAACAGGTTTGGGTGTGGAGCTTTTAATATTAGATATATATACATGTACACACACACTCGTATATATTCATAACAGCAAGCCGCTAAGTGATATTTCTATTTTTTCAGAGACATGTATGAGCTGCCTCTTCTCTATTCTGTGCCCCATCTGTGTTGTTCAAGACTGGTAGTCTGAAATTCACCCAACATTGGTATTATTCTTCAGGTACCTATTTGGATATTGAGGATTTAGGGGTTTTGCCAGACTACTGAGGCACAAAGGATGGATCTATTTTTAAAAAGAACTTCTGTGATTACAAATACAATAATTGAAAGAAGAATGTGCCCTCATGTGCCCTCTTTAAAACAATCCCTGGTGTTGCTGTGGCAGTTTTTGCTGTTTGAGGTGTCCAGGTCCTTCTGGACTGTGTGGATCCAAATCCTTTGGGTTATGGCTGTGGGGGCAGCTGTGCTACCAGCACATGGCTCCTCAGCATGGTCTGGGCCAGCATCACCTGGGATGAGTTTTTCCATGCGTAGCTCACAGCTCTGTTGTAGCTGCTGTAATTTTACGTGCTGTTGGGGCAATTAAAATGATAAATGTTAGCAGCAGCTTTACAAATTCCTTTTTGAGCTGTTCTGCTTCCAGCCAGGTGCAGCAGCCCTGGGGCAGCTTGGGTGTAGAGCAGATCCATCAGTGGCCGTCTGTGGAGTTTTTTTCTTGGAGGCAGGTGATGGAAAAGCCTGAGGAGCAGTCAAAACTCATGCCCACAGGTGACTGTGAGGGTTTTGGAGGAGTTACTGCCTCTGGCTTTGCAGAACTCCTGTGTGCATTGGGCAGCAGATACTGGACTTAGCAAGGTGAGGGGCTGGTGGTGGGCATAACCCTGTGCTGTGGGTACTTTTCCTGTGGGGTTGAGCAGCACCTACTAGCATAAGGTGGCACAGGCTGGGCTTCTGCCACCCAAACTGGCTTCCAAGAAATGAGGTACTGGTGATGGTTAGGGATATATGGAATATTTTCACATCTAAGCTAAATACTGTGATCTTGTGAGTCCCCAAATTCTGAATCGTTCCAGTGTAGGCATCTCGGTGAACTCAACTTGTAGGGCTCAGGATGGTGGCTCTGATGTTCTTGGCCATGTGTGAAAACAGCTTTCAGCTGTGGCAAGGTGCCATGGGTCTGCCAGGACAGGGATGCATGGGGCTTCTGATGTTGGTGACATCAGCAATTGACAGCAGTTTGGATTTTTTGTTTTTTACTTTTTTAAACTTGCAGATCCATAAGACCAGAAGGGTGAAGTCTGTTAGATACATCACAGACGTGTGTTAGTGCTGGAAATTTTATAAGGACTTGCTTTGATCACTGTTTTAAAACTTAATGTTTTCTGTGCCTCTTGGGCCTGAAACTATGGGCCGAAAAGCCCTGTGACTTGATACCTGAAGGCTCCCCAGTGATGAACTCCAGGGATTAAAGATGTTGCTTGATTTGTGGCTGAGAGTGCCGGGGGAGCGAGCACCTGGGTCCCAGCAGAGGCAGGAGCAGCTGGGCCCGACACGCTGCGCTGATGCACGTTATTGGAGTGGAGAATTTGGAAAGCTCAGAGTTCTGAGCTATGGTTATGTTCTCACTTAATAAGGTGTTAACTGACGTTGGGTGCTCTTTGGAGAGTTCGGCTATGTGTGGAGGTTAACGGTTCCCGGCATCTTGTCTGCTATAAACGAGCTTTCAGACAAGAGGAAAGAGTTACCACACGCTATCAGCGTGTGATTTTTTTTTTCTTAAAAAACCAAACCCCCAAACAAACAAAACTCCCCAAAGCTGAGGCGGAGGAAGCCTCTGGGCTTTCCGCGAGGCTGCGGGCGGTGCGGGGCGGCGGAGCGGCCGCTGGAGGGCAGGCGAGCCGTGCGGAGCGGCGGAGGCAGCGCCGGCAGCCCGGCGCTCTGCCCCCGCCGTCCGCGTCCCGCCGGGGAGCGGTGCCGGGCCCATGGACCGGGCGGCCGCGGCTGTCCCGGCCCGCGAGGGGCCGCTCCGGGGCTGCCGGGCCCCACTGCCGCCCACCCGGGGCTCGACGGGCACGGGACGCGCTCCTACCCCGTCTGAGGTAAGGGCGCACCGGATCCCGGGCAGCCGCGGCCACACGTGTCGGCGGAACGGGGCAGCGGCCGCTGTGCCGGGGGTTCCGAGCCCCTCGCGTCCCGGGCGAGCGGCGGCGCCGCCCGCTCTGTCGGGCCGGGTAGGGCTCGGGGGAGCCCGACCCCCTCCCTCACTTACTCTGCAAAACACGCTTCTCCGGCCGGCGCTGCCCGCGGCCGGGCGGTGCCCCCTCCGCGCGGGCGGTGCCAGCCCCGGGTCCGCCCGGGCGGGTCCCGCCTCCCGCTCCGCGCCCCGCGCATCGCTATGCCGCCCGCCCGGAGCGCGCGGCGCGGCGCAGGGCGCGGAGCGGAGCCCGGAGCGGGGCGCGGCGGCGGCCGAGAGGCTCCATCCGCCCGGCGGGGCTGGCCCGGCCCGGGGGGACGCGGGGGGGCACTTGCTGATGATCGGAAGTTACTGACAATAAGCACCTTCATCCCCCCAAAGGCGGAGAGAGGGAGAGGAGGAGGAGGAGGAGAGACAGGGGGAGAGGAGAGCTGATGCCTGACGAGTCACTCGGCGGAGGCAGAGCGGGCGGTACCACAACTTCCCGGCGGCGCGGAGCGGCGCGGAGCAGCGCGGCGCGGATCGGAGCTCGCCGGCCGGATCGCTCCCATGTCAGCGCGGCGGCGGGGGACTGCGCTCCGCTAGCGACCAGCCGCCGGCCAACCCCCTCCTCGCCCAGCGATGTATTCACTGCTCTCAGCCTGCACTTGCTTGTAAGGATTATGGCATATTTCTAATTTTTTTTTTTTTAATTTAAAAAAAATATTTTTAGATTTTTTTTTTTTAAACTTTCATTCTGAAGGCTCCGGTTGCATTTACCTTGCAGCCAGGTGGTAATGGGGACCCGAACCTTTTTATAAGCAGAGCATCGCTCTGAACCATTTAAAAAATTGCAAACAAAAACAAAGAAAAAAACCAAACAAAACAAAAATCAACTTTAATCATTCTACCGCATGATTTGATCTTTTGTTGCTTTTTTTTTTCTCCTCTCCAGATGTTTACATTTCCTGCTGCTGTGCTTTCAGGTACAGGTACGTGTCCTTTCTGTCCTCTCTCGCTTTTGGTTGTAAAATAGAAACAAAGGCGGCGTGCTGACCTCGAGTGCCAGGCAGGTTTGGCTGGGGCTTTCACTTGTTTCCCTCTAGTTTTTTATAGCTGTGTTAAACCGAGCCCCGCACCAGATGCTGGAATGTCACTTGCCCTGGACCGGGGCTTCCCCTGTGCTCAGCTCCCGTCCCGTGCCCCGCTGTGCTCGGCCGCCGGTACGGGCAGGGGTGCAGCCAGCCGGTGCGCCGGTAGCCTGCCGTAGCAGCATCCTCTGGAGTGCATTAGCCTGGCTAATGATGTGAGAGGGAGTGTTGGACTCTCCTTGCACAATGTTGATGGATGCACTTGCCTTGGAAGAGCAGGCGCTATCCTGCTCGCCCCTTTTTTTTTTTTTCTCTTTTTTCTCCCCCTCTTCGGTAACTCACTCCCAAAACCCGATGCTTTGAAAAACACAAGTTTTCCTAGCCAAGAGAAGGAGGCTGCGTGCTCCCTCCCCATTATTCAGTAGAACGCCGTCCAAGTCAGCTCCAGCCTTTGATCCTGTCTCGGCAGGAATGAGGCCGTTGGAGGAACACCCTGAGCGAGGCTCTGCAGCCCAGGTGCCCGCGGGGTGGGGTTGGAGCTGCCCCACTGCCTCAGGGATTTTAGCTGGACATCCTGGAGCAGACCCACCTGCGGGGCCGCGCAGAGCAGGTGCCACTTCGGTGGCTCCGGCCACCTTCCCGCCGGAGCTGGGGGACACTTGTGACACCCTTGGCCCTGAGTTGTGCTTTGGCCGGGATTGCACCTGCTCACCCTCTCCAGATCCCCAGCGGCAGCAGGGGATGGTCCTGGATGAGCACAGCCTTGGAGGGGGCTCCATCCCTCTGGCCAAGCTAAAACCCGAACCAGCCCCGTCCCATGCTCTCCCACCCATCCAAAAAATGCCCGATCACGGTTTTTTTCCTCATCCCTTCCAAAAACTGCAGCTCGAACCCGACACCAGCAGAGCCTCCCCTGGTGGAGCAGCCTCCTCAGCAGGCGAGGATCCGCAGCTGTAAATTACCCTGCCGCTGGAAGGTGTTTGCTCTGTTTCTCTGGTGCGGGTTTTTTTCAGCCCGAGGAATCACAGGCTGCGCAGGGCTCGCAGCGCCGGAACCCTTTGTAGCGGGGGGAGGTTTTTTTGCGCTTGTGCGGTAACTGAAGTTAATCAGCCCTCCAGCCCCCTTCCTCTCCCCCTCCCTTCGGTGCTTTTAGTGAATCAGAAGAAGTTTGGCTGGCTGCCTGGAAAGCACTTGCTAAAATCTGATCTCTTACTTCAGCAGCCTTAAAACAAAGTTATTGGCATTTATACAGTTGGAGCTTGCAGGCTTCCAAAGCAATAAAATAATAATAAAAAAAAAAAAACAGGAAAAAAAGAAGAAAGCTCTGTGCTCTGGTGCTATTAGAACCATACTTGCTACCTTTTGTGCTGATTTTGCAGCGTTTTGGGGGCTGTGAGGTGGGATGGCTGCGCTGGGCTCTGCGGAGGTGTCCTGGCTGCGGCTGGAGAGGCAGCGGAGCTCGCTGGGTGACACACGCAGAGCTGAGCTCCTTCAGCGATTGGTGTGAGCAGCCAAAACATTAGATTAGTCATACTCGAGGGCCTTCGAGTGAGTGTTTACAGTATTAATGGTAGATGAAAAGATGTGAATGCTGTAAGTTTTTATTGCCCATTTTGTTACACTTTCTTTCTGGATTTATTCATAGGATTACATGTTTTGAGCCTGATTGGGAGCAAGGGATTATAGGATTTCTTTAATAATGATCAGTTTGGGTTGGAGTTAGCCTTTGGTGAACTGGAGTAAATTAATGCATCACTTAGGTTTAATATTTATTTAGTCTAAAGGAAGTTGTTTAGTTTTGCTTAAAGGGCTCTGTGTTGTATTGGGGAGATTTAAGAGTTCCTCAAGTGGATTATATTCTAAGGCTGCCTTTCGCCCTGCGTTCGAGCCATGATCCACGGCTCGTCCTGTGTGCCGGTCTTAGAATTACTCTGCTGCTGCCTGGTACCTGTGGCTCTGTGTGCAAAGGTAAAAATCCCTCCAGTGTGTGTGGGGCTGGAGGGATTCTGGGACAAAGCACCATGGTTTGGGTACGCTCTGTGTGTTCTGGTGGATCCTCGTGTACAAGGGCTGTGGTGCATTGACATGTGAGCCGCTGCAGTTCTGTGGTGGGGGCTCAGCTCTGGCCAAAAGCTTTCTCATAGTCCCCAAGGCCACCCTACAGCCGCCAGTGGGTGATGGGCCAGGTGTAGTATCTCCTGTGGGCAAGTTATGGCAGCACTGGGAAGTGTTCCCCAGCCCTGGCCACAGGGAGGTTGGAGGGTCGGGAGTTTCCAGGATCAGGATTTAGACCCCTGGATGAGTCGGACTTCTCTAGGGCTTTGCCATCATGTGACATTTCCACCAAGAAGCACAGGGACTAACACATGGTGGGGCAGAGGGGAGCACTGCTGGAGCGTGGGGGCAGCACAGCCCTGGGAGCAGCCCTGGACCTCACAGGGCTGCCTGGAGGAGAGGTCATTCACCTTCCCCTAAAACAGCAATGCCCCTGTCTTGTTTTCTTCTCTTGCCTCTTAGGAAGTCACTCTGATGCTTGGAGTTGCTGCAGTTCCAAAGCAGGGACACTGGATACTCTTGCAGACCCTGGAGACAATAATTTATTCATGCAGGTTGTTCTTAGGAATGCTCTTTTGCTGATGGTTACTGAACTCTCCCTCTATCACATGTCTTTAGCATTCTTCAGTTTATTCTCCTACCTTTTCACACTTCCAGCAGCAATTTCTCTTCCATGTGCTTTTTTTTCTGTATGCCCCAGAGTGATTTTGGATTCTGCTTTGGCTTTGGAGTCAGTCTCTGCTCTACAAGCAGGTGAGAAACCCTAGAAGCACCTTGCAGGGTTTGAGGGGATTGCCCTGTGCTGTGCTGTGTGACCCTGAGGATAACAAATTTGGGGACATGAGACCTCAGAGGGCCCCATTTGCCAGGGCAGATGGGGTCTGGAGGCAGCTTCAGTGTAAGTTGAGCAGTAGGATCTGAGGTTCTGAGTGCTGTCCTGGTTTGCAAGAGCTTCCAGCTCTTCTGTACCTGGGCCGCCATGAGTGCCTGGCCAGGCAGAGCACGGGGCAGTGCTGGCACGGGCTGCCCTGGCTGTGCTGCAGAGCAGAGGGTGGTCCTGCCTCAGCCTCCTCCCTGCCTGATAAACCTCGCCATGTTCTCCTACACGGAGTGCATCTGTCTTCGATTATGAAGAGGTCCCTGATAGGGCCAAATCCTTTGCTTTTATGGCTCTTGTAGGTTAAGATCCAGCTTTGGAATCTGATCCAGAAGCAAACAGGAGGTCAGAGGAATGCACCAGGCAGCACTGGGCTATTTTCACATCTGCTGGTGTTGTGTAAGAGGAAGGCTGCTGTGTGCCATGCCAATAGCAACTTATGTTTCTCCTAAGCTCCTGTGCAGCGACAGACAGTTATTGTTTGGGACTTTTGTAAAGTGAGACACGGAGAAGTGTTGCTTCCACACGTTCAGTGAGCCAGATCCTGTGGTCTGGCGAAGCCACACGCAGCACATGTCAGAGGCGTGAGCTTGCTGAGCAGCTCCCTCCCTCTCCCTGCCTGCTGCTCCATAGCCGTCCTCCCTGGGACAGGCGGGACGGGTGCTGAGTGCCACCACATGGCTCTGGTGATTCACTGTGGAGAAGCCAAAGGAGGTCCTGGTCTCAACCCACCCACCTTGCCTTGGCTGGCCACTCTTTCTGCAGGTGTGCAGCAGTGGTAGAGCCACAGCTCCCTGCCTGCCCTGTCCTTGCCCTCCTGGTGACAGCACCAAAGGCAGGGTGCTGGACTGCACATCACCAGCAAGGTTATTCTCATGTCTCCCCTCCCTGCAGATGGTCACTCACCTGCCTTTGTCCTCTCTGGGTGGCACAGTGTCTGTCTTGAGGTGGCACCAGGGCTGTCTTGAGGTGTGCTGCCAGGGATGGAGCTTTGGGCATCCCCACATTGCTCCAGAAGCCTGTGGGATGGGGTAGGTGGTGTCTCCGTGGGCTGCTCCCGCCTCGTGATCAAGCCCTGCGTGCCAAGACTCATTGGGGCCCAGAGCCCCCCAGACTGGGTGATCCTGTGCCTGCCCTCTCTGCTCAGCCTGGATTGGGAACACCACATCCTCGGCACAGCATTCCTGTGCCAGTACCTGCCTCTTGCTCCGCAAGGGTGGAGAAATCATGTTGAGAAGGACAGAATGTGGCAAATGTGAAAGGCTGGGTGGCTCTCTGTTGAGTTTTTGGATTGCACCTGCCTTGATTACTAGGCAGTGAGAAGACCAGAGAAACTGAGTGAGCAAAGCCTGAGTTGATGAGCAGAGGAGCTCAGTGATGTGGAAGTGCATGGCCCCATCACGGGCTGGAGTTGATGGGATGGTCCCTGGCTCTGGCTCTGTGCTGTGCTGGACTACCTGTGGTGGATGCAGTTCCTGATGGTGTGGCTCTGCTGGCCTGCAGCCTGCAGAGGCAGCGTCCTGTTGTTGCTTTCTGGGTGTGCTATGGCAATGGGCAGCAGAGCAGAGCTCCTTGGGGGCTTTGCTCTGCATCCCTGTGGGAGTGCAGTTTGCTTTTCCAAAGCTCCAGAGATGTGTGAGGTGCTTCAGAGGACCAGAGATGGACATGGGCGTTGTTGAGGAGAGTGACTAGAAGGACACCATGAGGTTCATATTTTAATTGGATGCAGTGTGATGGTTGTATTGTATTTTGGTTTTGCTTTCCTTATTGCACCTGACAAGTACCAGACTGGGTGAAGGCAGGGGGCGCAGGGTTTGGAGTAGTGCAGGATTTGAAGTGGTCTGAGGTTCAGTGCGGGGTTCAGAGCAGTGTGGGATTCTGAGAAGTGCTGGGTTTGGAGCAGTGCTGCCTTTGGAGTGGAGTGGGATTCACAGGAAGAATTCCTGCTCAAACTCAGAATTAGTTTTTC